CGAAAGGCGCTCAATCTCTCATCAAGAATCTCTAGAATACCCTCCTTGAACGTGCCAAAGATCACGGGAGTCTGATCAAGGATACTATGCGTAATCTCAGATGAGATGAACTCCCTCGTCTAGTCATCAAGCTGCTCGACTCCAGAACCCGAGCCCGAACCCTCCCCCGACACCGAAACTGCCCCCTGGCCTACCTCGCAATACCACCATACTGAAATAGACCAGCAAACTATCAGAACAAACATCAATGCACATATTGGGGAAAATCATAACCACACAAGCTCTTTGGCTTCATTATAGCCCCCCTTGAATCGAGTACGAATCCTATGCTTCCAGTAGTACGGGCCCATAATACCTTCCACATCTATCCGTACTTTTCCTCAAGAAGTGCCTTAACTCAGCCAAATTGCTCTACATACCACTCATGTCCAAGGTTTGCAACACTAAATCTCGTCCTAGGTTTTCCTAGGGAAACTCCACACCAATATCTGCCATCAGCTGCAGAAGGAACTCACGCTAACTGGCTCACGAATACAATTACATATTACAAAAACTAGATAATTCTTCGAATGAGAGGTCTCTCCCTACAACGGTTGGACTCAAACAAGAGCTGCACAATAGAGCTAAACCTAACCTTATGAAATTATTTAGTTCTCATAATATATAACTTAGCATATTCACTTACTAATTAGCTGAGATTAACAAGAACTCCTAAAAGCACAAAGCAAGCAGCATTCGAGCATCAAGTAATCAGAACAGAGAATAACCTAATCAGACCATCCTATCACTGATTGATCAGTACTAGCACACAATTCTATAAGCTCAAAAGCAGCCATACAAAGGCATATCTCCTAGATCCTTAGCCCTAATCTAGCATGTTATTCACAGATTCATAATTCAAACATATATGAGTATTTTGGGATAACTTACTTGAGCTTGACTGATTACACGCACCACACCCTTTTCTCTTTTAGAAATCCTTTTTTATAGAATGTTTTTCTTTTGAAAATTTCTACCAAGTCCTTAGTTTGAGTTCAGACAGACCCGATAGTGTGCCCGAATCCCTCAAACCAAGGCTCTGATACCAACTTATAACAAATGCTTATTTTATACGTATCATCCCTCCTCCTGTATCTTTTGTGTTAGTGTGTATTTGATTGTATATGTGAATGAAAAAATGTATAATAAATTATGTGTAATGTTTTACCATCAGGATTATAATTATACTATATCAAAGATAAATACTCGTAAACGGTATAAATATTTCTTTCAAGTCACGATTTGACATATAAATATTCAAGTCACGATTGCATTTGAATATGTGACAACGATACAATATTAACCACTTATAAAACGGTTGAATGAAGTCAAACAGAAAATTAAGACATCGTTCTCATAGGAATCGTTCCATTGTAAATGACAATGTTTAAAGTAAAATTATATTAATAACTATAGACGACCATTATACAAATAAAATATATTACATTTGGATAAAAAGTATAAAAAAAGGAGAATAGGATCATATCCAAAGATAGGTAGAGAAAATGACATGTTATGGGGGGTTGGTCCTCCAAACCAAAGCATAAGTCACCCCTTTTCCCGACCTTTGCCTTCAATGTTATCCACCTTCCATATTCATATCTCCTGCCAATATTATCCTTTTTTTTTTGTTTAGTTTATATTGGTTTATAATTCGTGGAACCACAATTATAAAATTAATTAATTTTTATAGTAAAAATCTAAAATTATTTATCAATTATTTTAAATAAATTATTAATTAAAATATTTTTTAATTATATAAAATTATAATCATTGATTTAAATAAATATGTGAAATTATATCACTTTATAATTTGTTTTAATTTTATTTTAATTTTTATCATATTGTTATTAATTTAATATAATTAGAACGAGAAGTTTAAAATTTGAAATTTAAAATGGAGAATCATAGGTTAACAGGTGGCATGCATTAATTATGAGACATAATAAGATGACACATAACAAAAAGAGAATAAAATATGCATTAATTCGGATGTCTGATAGAATGATACATGTCAAAAAGAGAATAAAACCATTCTTTAATTAGAATAGGAAGATTTTAGTACTATAACTTATAGTTACCAATTAATATTTTTAGTATCATATTAGTTACATTATTTTCGTTCAACTGATAAGATAACTTATGAAATAAATAATTTTTTTCCCTTAATTTGTTTTCGTTTTATTTTCTTTCTCTTAAGCCGGATACATTACAATTAAGAGTAAATACCATAAATGTTATTAAGTTTATATGAAAATTCGATTTTGACATTATATTATTTTTTATCTCGAATTAGATACAACCACTTGGGTTGGGTTGACTTAGTAAGACACGTTGAAGATATGGTTTGTAACATATTGACTCATATTCAAATCCTGACACTACTCATCCCTTGTGGTCATGGATGTTCGCATGCAATGACTCAATGACATGAGGCATGGTGTCGTGTTTGTAGTGAAGGATTAGTCGGTGCACGAAAGCTGGCTCGAAATCTTCGTTAGAAAGTTTCCTTTAAAAAAATAATAATAAAAAAATTGGACAACACGTTTCCAAATTGTTAAAATTCTGACCACTTAATCAATCAATCCAGTTGTCTGTTGCATGACATGATGATGTTTCATTTTTGATGACATGACATGTTGATGTGTCAAAATAAAATAGTTTACACAAAAGACACTAAATTTTCATTTTTCTCATCTTTGACACTAAATTTTAATTTTAATTTTTTTCAATATTGACACTTTATTTTTTAGTTCCAAATAGAACATTATATTTTTCCAATTTTATTCAATGTTGACTATTTTTCATTTGAAACCGTATATATATATATATATATATATATATATATATATATATATATATATATATATATATTTGAATCCATATAAATATATTGTTTTTTCATTTAAAAACCACATTTAGTTTGGTTCTTCTAGATACACTTCTTGATTTGTTGGAAAAAACATTACATCCTAATAATATATGAAAAATACAACTATAATATAATTAATATATATTTAATTTGTTATCTATAAAGCTGATGTGTTTTAATTGCATTATCTTATCTATTGTCTAACTAGACTTTTTAACTTAATAGTACGTTTATTATTTAGTGAATCTTTTATATTTCATTTAAATAAATGACAAATAGAAATCCTTCTTACATGACCAATTTTCCCAATGTTAGTTTTTTTTTTGAAGTTTAATATATTTTATTTAATAATTTCAACATACTAAATCTTTAAATTTTAAGATATTATAATTTTTTCCAACAAATCAAGAAATATATATATATATATATATATATATATATATATATATATATATATATATATATATATATACCTTGTGGTCATGGATGTTCGCATGCAATGACTCAATGACATGAGGCATGGTGTCGTGTTTGTAGTGAAGGATTAGTCGGTGCACGAAAGCTGGCTCGAAATCTTCGTTAGAAAGTTTCCTTTAAAAAAATAATAATAAAAAAATTGGACAACACGTTTTCAAATTGTTAAAATTCTGACCACTTAATCAATCAATCCAGTTGTCTGTTGCATGACATGATGATGTTTCATTTTTGATGACATGACATGTTGATGTGTCAAAATAAAATAGTTTACACAAAAGACACTAAATTTTCATTTTTCTCATCTTTGACACTAAATTTTAATTTTAATTTTTTTCAATATTGACACTTTATTTTTTAGTTCCAAATAGAACATTATATTTTTCCAATTTTATTCAATGTTGACTATTTTTCATTTGAAACCGTATATATATATATATATATATATATATATATATTTGAATCCATATAAATATATTGTTTTTTCATTTAAAAACCACATTTAGTTTGGTTCTTCTAGATACACTTCTTGATTTGTTGGAAAAACATTACATCCTAATAATATATGAAAAATACAACTATAATATAATTAATATATATTTAATTTGTTATCTATAAAGCTGATGTGTTTTAATTGCATTATCTTATCTATTGTCTAACTAGACTTTTTAACTTAATAGTACGTTTATATTAGTGAATCTTTTATATTTCATTTAAATAAATGACAAATAGAAATCCTCTTACATGACCAATTTTCCCAATGTTAGTTTTTTTTTTGAAGTTTAATATATTTTATTTAATAATTTCAACATACTAAATCTTTAAATTTTAAGATATTATAATTTTTTCCAACAAATCAAGAATATATATATATATATATATATATATATATATATATATATATATATATATATATATAGATATAATCTTGTATTTATACAAAAAAAAATATGGTTTTTAATTAAAGAAAATTATTTATACAGTTTCAAATATAAAAAAAATATTTATACGGTTTGAAATGTAACAAAAAAAGTAATGTACTTGAAACAAAAATAATATTATCAAAACTGAATAAAATTGGAAAAAATGATGATTAATTTGGAACAAAAAAATTAAATGTCAAAACTAAAAAAAAAGTTAAAATTTAATATCTGTTGTGACATTTTTTTTTCAATTTTGTCAAGTCAAGTATGTTATTTAAACATGTCATGTTGTCAAAACTAACATATTAGCAGACAATCAGATTGACCGATTAAATATTCAAAATTGTAACAAATTGAAAAGACAGTATCTAATTTTAGACAAAACATAACGCTGTATAAAAATCAAATTATGATGTAAACTTAATTATGCATAAAAAATGTTTGTCATGCTACATACCATATTTATTTATATATATAAAAAATACTAAAGTTAATCTATGTAAATTAAATGGAGACTGATAGATCAATTTATGCTGGGAGAAATTACAAGCCACAATGCTATAGTTACAAGTGTTTGTCGTTTTAGTTTTCCCCACTTGCTCCTCTTGATGTCCTTTCCCCACCATCTATCGCACTAGTGAACTACTTGGAAGCTTTATAAATACTTGGAAAATTCTAAACAAAAGAAACCACGAAACACACAAAGATCTCTCTCACACACACACAAACACAATGGAACTTGAGCTAAGTCTTTCACCTCCCAATCAAAGGAGACAACCAATGAAGAAAACCTGCCATGTTGGCAACACCACGACAAGATATCCTCTGGTTTCATGGAATCAGGAAGAAGAAGATGAACCCAACAAAAATTTCGTCAACGACGATTACCAACAGTAAGTGTACTCCTTGATCCAAACTGTTATCAATGAGCTTTTATTCAATATAAAAGGAGGCCCTAAAGTCCATAACTTTCATTGCTGTAGCCACAGCACAATGCATAATAATAGTTTTTGTCATAAACTAACAAGAATTATATTGTTGGTGTAGAGATTTGGATGGTGAAGGAGAAGGTTTAACTGGATGGCCACCATTGAATTCATGGAGGCGAAGGTTGATTGAAGGTGTAGGGTTTAATGGAAGGGTGGATGATGAAGAAGAAGGTGACAATATCAATGTGATGACTAACAACTACAATGAGTCGTTGTTTGTGAAGGTGAAGATGGATGGAGTTGGGATTGCAAGGAAAATCGATTTGAATGCTTTTCATTCTTATCAAATGCTCACCAACACATTGCTCCACATGTTTGACAAATGTAAGACCCTGCGCTTTTGTTTTATGTGATGCTGTCTAGGATAAAATGTGGTGTAGATAAAGTATATATGATAAATATTTCAAAATTTAAATAAATGAATGTACAAATGAGAATAAATTTGTGAAAAGATAGCATTTTATAATTATTTATATACTAAAATAAATAATAAAATGCAAAAAAAAAAACAAAATTTAAAAAATTAAAAGAGCAAAACAATCATTTCGTGTTTTTTAGGACCAAAAACAAGAAAATTTCTTAGATTTTCGATATTCCATGCAAGTCGAAATTTTTTTGCATCTTATCCTTAGTTTTTCGTAAGGGTGTTGCTAAATTGACACCTCTTAGACACCCTTTAAACACTTTTTTTAAAAGTCAACTTATAATAAAATATTTATAATTACTTTTTCAAAAACAATGCAAATTTAATCAATAAAAAAACTTTAAAAATCAAATAGGTATCTAAATGGAAAAATATGATGTCTTTTTAGCTAACCCATTTTCATAAACCATGACAACCAATTTTTTGTCTAACAAAATTTATAATAATTATTGTTAGAAAAATGTTAATAAAAATATTTTTAAATTAAATCAATATAAGCTTATAAAACTAATTGAAACTACTCATCGAAAATAAACTATTTGACGTCCACCAAAATAACTAATGACCTTCTCGGAATCAATCACCCACTGAAATTAATCGTTATCCATCTCATTGTGCCGTTATTATATATATATATATATATATATATATATATATATATATATATATATATATATATAGATGAGTAGGCTTTATAGAATATTTATTATAAAATGTAATTAGTTATTTAAAAAAAAATTAAAATGTTAACATTTTGAGAATGTTTATAACACATGTTTTTGTTGAATAAAAGTCAGTGCAAAAGCTGATGCAACTAAACTTAATAAGTATTTTAGAGGTTAAGTGGCTTACTATGGCAATGTGATAATCTTTATTGCATTACTTACGATTAGGTATGTAAAATGTTAGATCTAAATCAGGTCTTACGATGATATGAATGTATTGATGATGCAATGTAACATAAAAGTAAAATAGAAAAGAATGATAAACAAAGTCTTCATGTTTTTGGTTATTTGTATTTAAACATTGAGCTAAATTTATGTATTTAAATTGTGGATGGATATAGATGTTGAAATTCATGAAGATGGTGCAAGTTACACGCTCGTATATCAACACAAAGATGGACATTGGTTACTTGCACGAGACTTTCCATGGGAGTATGCATCTTTTTATTACTAATTTACCATTCAACCTAAGAAACCTTTATTCCAACATATAATGCATTACTTTATCATCTGTTATTAATGGTAACACATAGTTGTTTTATAACACATGCGACATGTCCCGTGTTAATCTTAGTATTGTCGAATGTTGCATGCATTGGTTCTAACATAATTTTTTCTTTTTGTAGAATGTTCATAGCTAGTGTACAGCGTATACGATTGGCAAGGAACTAATATGCGCGGATCCGAGAATATATATAAAGATGTATCACTCCCACATATAAGTAGCTTTTGAAGTGTATATGATGTTATTATTTGAATTGGTTATGACCAATCTAGTGAATAACCATTCATGTATTAGTTAGAAATCATTATAATATGTTAATCCTATATGTGGTTGCTCGTACATTGAAAAAGTAAATGTTAGCTAAGGAAATTAAAGGCAAAAAATCCAAGATGAAATTTAGACATAAACATGAAAACCTTAAACCAAGTTGAAGAAGATTTACTTCGTCAGAATGATAATTTCATTGGTGTTGAATATACATTTAATGATCCTTTCTTCTTCCCATAATTATGTCAATTGATCAAGTGGTGGATGGATGAGCAAAAATTAGATATATAAAGTTATTAGAGAATATTCTATCCGAGAGGTTAAATATCCTCCTAGTAAATATTTTTATTTATCTGTAACATACCAAAAATTCAACAAATTTAAATTTTTTCAAAACAACCATTTTGTCTAATAGAAGTGTTACAAAACCATTGTTTCAAAACATTATTTAAAATCAGAGTCTCACAAGATCCAATTAGTTGTAAAACCACGAATAGGTACGGCCACACCTTCGCCTTGCCACAGTCCATTGAAGTACCTGAAACCATAAACCAAAGTTGTAAGCACAAAGTTTAGTGAATTTCCCAAAAGTACCACCACACAAATAGATAACATGTACCAACAAACAACATACTATGGGTCCAATCAACCATCGGGTTGGAATACCCCAGACCCCTCAACCATCGGGTTGGAATACCAACATATTATGGGTTCAATCAACCATCAGGTTGGAATACCCCAGACCCGCAACCATCGGTTGGAATGCCAACATAATATGGGTCCAATCAACCATCAGTTTGGAATACCCCAGGCCCTCAACCATCGGGTTGGAATACCAAGATACTATGGGTCCAATCAACCATCGGGTTGGAATACCTTAGGCCCTCAACCATCGTGTCAGAATGCCAACATACTATGGGTCCAATAATCCTCGGGATGGAATACCCTCGGGCCCATTCAACCATCGGGTTAGTATGCCCCAGCCTGTTGGCTTACACACAAAGTAGTGAAGCCTCAGCCACCGACCAAACATGTGAACATATAATAGATAATCATATAACAGTCTACAGCCAGTCAAAAAGATCTATAGACCATTAAGCATAGCATCATCCTATATTCCTATATACCAGGATACCGATCTAACACATCACTAAAGCACAATAGCATGCATAACAGGATATCAATCCAATGGGTCGACATTGGTGCCTTCGACCCAGAAGAACAGTGAGGAAAACTCACTTCTCGATTTGATCCATAGCTGATGAGAACCGACTCTGAATCTCAACTCTTTAACCGATACTTGTTTCCACTGAGTGGCTAATTCTGTCAAAATCCCAAAATACCCTCAAGGTCCAACTTGGTCCAAGTCAACGGTTAAGGTCAACAATCCATGTTGACCCAACACGCCGTGTTGACTTAGAAATACATTGTGTTCCGCCTGCACCCAAATAGTTGGGAAAATCCCAACTAACACGTCGTGTTGACTTAGAACACACCGTGTTTGCCGAAGATCCAACAACATAATATGTTAAGCCATTTTCCTTCATTCCAAGAGCTCCAAAGCTCAGGTCTAGTCTAAAACGTGATCCATAAGGATAACGTTTGCAACTTTATCCATTGGGACTACCGAAAAAGGTCCAATGCCCAATCCATAAAGCTTAAAAATGCAAGGGTTAACCAATAAGCACTTAATCCTTAAAGTCCGAAAACCATCCTTTCTAGAAGTGATTCTAACACCAAAATCATCCCAAAGGTTGGTGCTTTTTAGACATACATGTCCAATGTATGTCTTGTACCTATATTAGGTCAAAATGAGGATTTCTGACTTAATCTCTATGCATGGCATCAAAACTAAATTAAAGACCAAATCCAAGACACTATTAGGTCACTTTGACCTGGAGATTCATAATGTTGCAAACTTTATGATATCTAACCATTCCAACATTCAAGAACAAGAAGCAAAAGGATTACAACCCAAGATCTAACAAATTCAAATGATAAAAATCGAGCTTCAAAAATGGGGGCCTGCTTTCTGAATCTTTGCTTCCTTCTTCCACATTCTTCCTTCTTTAGCTCCAAAAACACCAAACTAGCTTCAAAAATGGGAGGGAAAGATGATTAGTGTTTCTTTCAGAGCTTGAGGGAAGATGGGAGCTGAGGGTGAACAAACCCTAGACTCCACATTCCTTTAAATAGGGAGCAAAACCCGAAAGATTAGGGTTTAATTACTAGACATCAACACGTCGTGTTCCAAGAGGCAACAAGTTGTGTTGTCCTTAATGAAATCCGCGATTCCTCATATTTGAACACACTGTGTTAGTGCCTCCAACACGTCGTGTCAAATCCTCAAAAGGTGATTCATTCCCAAAATTTCTCCTCAAATTTTCGTGTGTTAGAACCCTCCCCCAATTAAATTAGATTTCGTCCGCGAAATCATTCCTTACTATCTCCTTTACCGAACTAAACGATCATGACTGGACTCCCTGAATCCCAAACGCAACTGGGGAAGTCACCCCACTCTTATGACCGCCCACGCTTACTGATGTCGAATGCAAATTAGAAGATATAACGAGATCTAACGAAGAATGAATCTCAACTTTTCCTTAAGACAACGAGCATCTGACCGCCATGCCTAAAATTGAAAACCCTAAACAATGACGGACTCAAAACAGACAAAACCAATCCAAAACTGCTCCCGTAAAGACTCAATCTTCACAAACTGAACCGAAAACTTACCCGACCTGAACGAATTTACAAATACCCGAAAACATATAGCCCCGACCAACTGCCAGATCCTTGATAAAAGTTGACCCCGATATACGATGGCCTTCCATTAATCGAACCCATTCTAAGCCGAATTCTCATACTCACAACGGACGGATCCTCGCACTTGCTGAAGTTAACTGATAAAGGACAACCATCACTACTCAGCTCAAAAACTACGAATCCAATCCATTATCTGAAAACAACCCAACACATCAATTGCGAAATTTCCACTAATCCCAATTCCATAAGATGCACCAAAAGCCTTTAATTAAACCGTGACTCCCTGATACGCCATTCCAACCACCACTCCTATGAGCAAAGATGAAAATTCCAGGAATTCCACATTTACCTCTAATCCTTAACAATTCAGATGTACCCCCATCAAGCAAAACACCCGATACATTAACGAAGAACTTTTGATTTGAGACATCATGACTGTTTCCCAACCTAGCTAATCAACCCCTCATAACAGCTTGTGATCAAATGGGGTTATAATGAAACATTTCGAGAGATTTTTCTGATGTATGGCTGATACTCCTAACATCCTTTAATTGTTTCCTCTCCAAACCAGCTGATTGTGCCTCCCGACTTCGATCAATGCACCAATACCGAAAGTTCAATACTCAGATGAAATCAACGATCATGATTACTGGGCCCACAACCTATGCCTGGAATGCTCTCGATATTACACCGATCCTCCTGACATTAAATCACTCACCCAACGCCCTGGGCCTAAAGATACTCACCTTATTCCATCGCCTTGTAGGGACCTAAACAACGTCCCTATCAACGCCAACCGAGCACAACAATGCGAAAATCTCACCACGCACAATTCCTTTCACAGAATAACCTGCTACCAATGCAAAACCCTGCGAAATCATGGTTGCCTACAGCCCGAGAACAGGATAACGGTTGCACTCTTGATCCAATTCAAAGGCTATCACCCAGAAGAACCATGCAAATAATCTGATCCATACCCTAATGCTATCTTATATAGTCCACATACACACAAAGAATTACCATAATACATATCCTTAGGGAACCCATAAACTCATCCAAAAAGGGCAGAAATACCAAATCTCAATCGAACGACGGACCTCAATCATTAACAGAAGACATACTCATGGCCAATCGAAACAAGATTCCATACTAGATTGAGACTGAACAGGTTCCATCAATACGCAAACAACTCGAAAAAACTTCTGAAGTGATCCTGAATGCCACCCAACCCAAACCTAGTATGAACCAAAATTCTACACCGCCATTGAGGGTAAACATACCCAGAGACCAAAGGAACATAAAACATACTAATCTTGATGATAGGTGGACACATCCATAGAGCTTCAACTGTTACAAATCAAATCCTTCAGAGAACCTTTGCTGAAAGACAAACAATGCGACCAATAATCGCGAACGTAACAAATTCCGAAACTGATTCCTTCATCGATCACTGCCCAAGCTAGATTATAATTAGAAATCCATACCACCAGATGACAATTTCCTTCCATCGTCGATTTTCATCCGGAGTAATCCCAGCGGCTCCTTATTTATTAGCACCCCCAACAGGTACCAATAGCTTCAACGAGCTCCTTGATTACCCACCTCTATATACCTATTCCTTGGCCAAACTCTGAATCGAGATCCCACACACTCGCACCGCAGAACCCAAAAAGACATTCTTCAATACCATGAATCCGAACAACGATGATCCACCAAGCAGAATACCCAGTTCTCCCCCACTTAGGGTTCGAACTACCACCCACGGGTGTTGAAACCAAACCATAACTCAAACCGGCTCAACCAGGTACAACCATCCCTGACCCCGGGAATGAATAATACACACCGGATGATCTTCCAGATAAGGATCAAAAAATTCCAAAGAGAATCCGAAATTTCAGCTGAAGGCCTCTAAAATTCCCCAATCATGACCACTTAACATTGAGGTTCCCTTACAAGAGCATAACCCAATACCGAATTATGATCTAAAACATACACTCCTTACATGCAATTCCAACCGTCAAACCATTACTTGGCTTGCCTATCACTCAAGAACATGGACCCATAATCATATCACCAACATCCATATCACATCAACCCACATGCGCACTACCGCGCTGACAATCTGTCTCCAAACACTGCGACCAACAGTCCCCGTACTAGGTTACATCCCAACACTGCAATTCACAAG